TGTTAACAACCATTTCATCAATAAATATGAGAGATGTCTTTTTGGCACCACTCTTGCGCAGTCACGCCTTGAGTCCCCTGGCTGGTCCTCAGGTCTTCGACAACCAATCGTGTCTCTTCCCTCATCTGCGGGTCAGAGACAGGGAAGGGACCCGACACATTCCTCCTTTGTGCTGACTTCTAGAAAGCTTAAAGCTAGAGTTTGTCTTAGTTGTAAATTCTTGTGAAACTGTTTAAATTTTATTTTCATTGTTTATCTTGTGAATGCTGTTTTCATACCTTTAAATTTAGCAAAAGCTAACTCATACCCTTTTTAGAGGGAAATAAGGTATAAAGAAGTAAACAAATAAATATTTAGTAATACTCTTGATCAACATAGCAATCTCAAGGCGCTACTTGGAGTAAATATTTCCAACTCTATAAATGATGAAAGTGAGGCAATGAAAAGTGATTTCCTCAAAGTTAGAAGCTAAGAAGCAGCAAAACTGATGTCAGAACACAGATCTTAGAGGGTGTCCCATTTCAGTTCTTTATACTACCCCACCAACATTCTATCACTCTGTTTAAGACAGATATTTTTCTGACATCTAGAAAGCATTCCAAAATAGCTCCTGCAGAACTAACACTTTAATGTGATAGAGCTCCCATGATAAGATGTTCAACTAATACACCATCTCAGTGATTGAGGTAATTTTAAATGTTTCTCAATACAATCCCTACAATGGCTTACCTATGTACGATAGAAACAAGTTGTTTATTTGTCAGTGATGACCTGTGATACTTATACTTATTATTAATATTTAAATTAATGATTTGCTGCTAATGTTAAGAAGGATGGTATGAAACACAAAACTCTAGTATTTGTTTCATAATATGGGTCTTGGTATCTAATGTCTGTAGTTAGCTTGATTAAGAACAGGAGAAAATATTTCCAAACAGCTCCAATGTAGAGGAACTTATAAGAAGTTACTTTATATTTTGCTGCATTACCTTTTAAAGTCATATAAAAGAATTATTTGGCTATATAAAATTTATGCATTCTTCATTAAAGAAAGAAAATGAACATCTATAGGGATAGATAAATGTATTTGGTATTCATTACTGGTGATAGTGAATACAATTTGGGTTTTAATGCCAAGTATAAGGTGAGAATACTTATTAGCTAGAAACATTACTTACCATTGGATGATTTGTGGAATTTCAAGTCCAATAATTTGTCTAAGTTGGGCAAATAAATTATATGCATGTTCCAAACCTATGTGACAGTTATGAACACAGTCTAAATGTGAATAGGAGAACTTAATAAGTTTTCTAAACACATTAAAAGAACCCTTCTCCTAGACTCATTCTGTATCTGCTTCTAGACTTAAGTATTGTGGACATTTGCAAAGTTTGGTCCAAAAAACTAGATGATCGCTATGAATTAAAAAACATCACAAAATGACTTAAATCACCTTGTGCTAAGTAGCAGGACCTTGTAGTGGAATAAGTATTGGTTTTCTAAAATGGTAAGAAAGCTTAGAAGTTGCATAGTTTGCTTCAATCATTTTACAGTTGTAGGATATAAAGATGAGGTGATGGGACTTTCCCAAGATCTCATAAGTTTATGGCAGAGTGTCAACTATAACTAAGCTGATTCCTGACTGAATGCTATTTCCATGGTACCATTATATTTCAAGTCAGAGGCTAAAATAAATTTGCTGCTTTGTTTAAACGAGTTTAAAAAAATTAACATGATATAGCTTAAAATAGAAAAGGTTTTGATCAACTCACATTTTTAGCTAAAAGCCAACTAGAAACCAAATATAATAGCAATATTACTATCAGAGCAGTTCAAGGATATATTATTAAAAGAAATGTAATGATGAAAGCCTTCAGGTTTCCTACAATACTTTAAGAATCAAAAACACTGCTATTAGGAGAGAAGCGCTCAAGATGGGGGCATGAGTAGGGAGACAGAAATCTCCCAAAACCGGATATATTTTGAAAATACAACAAATACAACTATTCCTAAAAGAGAGACCAGAAGATACAAGAAATCCTACCATTTGCAACAACATGGATGGAGCTAGAGGGTATTATGCTCAGTGAAATAAGCCAGGTGGAAAAAACAGGTATCAAATGATTTCATTCATCTGTGGAGTATAAGAACAAAGAAAAAAACTGAAAGAACAAAACAGTGGCAGACTCACAGAACCCAAGAATGAACTAACAGTTACCAAAGGGAGGGAGACTGGGGAGAATGGGTGGGAAGGGGGGGATAAGGGTAAAAAAAGGGGCATTATTATTAGCAGACATAATGTGGGGGCTGCATGGGGAGGGCAGTGCACCACAGAGAAGGCAAGTAGTGATTCTATAGCATCTTACTATGCTGATGGACAGTGACTGTAATGGGGTATGTGGGGGGAACTTGACGATGGGGAGGAGTCTAGTAACCATAATGTTGCTCATGTAATTGTGCATTAATGATACCAAAAATAATTCAGTGGTGACAAAAAAAATTACTAGGCACATTGCAAAATTAAACTGTGGTGATGGTTGCACCACACTATGAGTACACTAAAAAATACTACATTGCACAATTTAAATGAGTGGAATATGTGGCACATGAATTATATCTCCAAAGGTTGTACAAAAGTGACCAGACATGGGGGGACTTCCCAAATGCCCCACTGAGGATCTTGCCAAATCTTCTCCCCAGAAAAGAATGATAAAACTGGGCAAACTTGTCAAAATCAACCATTTCAGATCCCTGAAAATAAACCAAAAGCACAGAATGTATTGAGAAGTGTTTATACAAGAAAACCTACTGAACTGCAGCAGGAACAGTAGGATCTGTGATATTTTAACTTGCAGCTGCTCCCATGTCCCTAGCCTCAAGGTGCTGTAGCCTTGTGAACTGAAGGATTGGTAGTCTCATGGTAGCTGAAAAGGCTGATCCAATATGAAGCTCAGCAGAAAAGTCCAATGCCCAATAGTCATCTCAGGGGTAAATAATCAGGAAGGCCAGCATCACAGTTGCCTAAGGCTGTGATACTGGTTAGAGCAAGCAACAGACCAGTCAACTATTTTAAAAAGGATATCTGGGAAACAAGACAACTATAAAACGCTTTGATAAACTCCCATATGTTCTGGGGTATCTGGAAGTCTGTGTGGATGCACAGGGCTGCACAAATGCTCAGGGGAGACCAGAGATGGCCCCAATTATCTATCTACTCATTCATGGCTGACCTAGAGACACTGTACAAGCAGAAAGTGAATATCAGAGAAAACTTTAAACTGCCTGAACTCAAAATGAATATACCAACACAACAGATCCACTAGGAAAAGGGTGGAAACTTTACTGGCTCAAAATGTTTAAGCAAAATCTCTGCCAATAATTGGCTGACCACTAACCTATGATTACCCAAGGGTAATCTGTAGGCAGCTAAGTTTAAAAACAAGAATTAAAAAAACTGACTAGGGCTTCCAGTTGTCACACACTGCAATAGACTACAAAATTAGTCTAAACATAGCACTAAACAAAAACAAAAATTAAAACTAAAAGAAAAAAACAATGTGCAGCCCATACACAGAAAAAGTAGCAGCTTATATAGATTGTTTCTGGGAGGGCCTAGGTGATACATTTAATATATAAAAATTCCAAATAAGTAAAGGAAACCATGTTTAAAGAATTAAAGGAATATATGAAGATAATGACTTATCACACTGAGAACATTATTTAAGATATAAAAATTATAAAAAAAGAAATGGAAGCCAAGATATGGAAGCAACTTAAATGTCCATCAGTAGATGAATGGATGAAGAGTTGGTACATATACACAATGGAATACTATTCAGCCATGAAAAGAAATCCTTCCATTCGCAACAACATGGATGGAGCTAGAGGGCATTATGCTCAGTGAAATAAGCCAGGCGGAGAAAGACAAGCACCAAATGATTTCCCTCATTTGTGGAGTAAAACGATGAAGCAAAACTGAAGGAACAAAATAGCAGCAGACTCACAGAATCCAAGAACAGACTAGCAGTTACCAAAGAGAAAGGGGTGGGGGAGTGGGAAGGGAGCGACAAGGGGATTGAGGGGTATTATGATTAGGACACATGGTGTAGGGGTGTCACAGGAAGATAGTGTAGCACAGAGAAGACAAGTGGTGATTCTGTGGCATCTTACTACACTGATGGGCAGTGACTGCAATGGGGTATAGGAGGGACTCGATAATATAGGTGAATGTAGTAACCACATTGTTTTGCATGTGAAACTTTCATAAAAGTGTATATCAATGATAACTTAATAAAAAATAAATGGAAACTCTGGAGCTAAAAGGTTCAAAACTGAAATGGGAATTTTCTTCAAGGGGCTCAACAGCAGATTTGAGCTGACAGAAGAAAGAATCAGCAAACTCAAAGGTAGACCAATAGAGATTATCCAGTCTAAAGAAAAGAATGTAAGAAGAATGAAGAAAATTGAAAAGCCTCAAACTCTTGTGAGACACCAGAAAATACACCACATATGCATAATGGGAGTTCCAGAATAGGAGAGGAGAAAAGAGGGACATGACAAGTATTTGAAGAAATAATGGGTGAAAACATCTCAAATTTAAGGAAAAACATTAATCTACACATCCAAGTTCAATGAATTCCAAGTAGAACAAACTCAAAGATACTCACTGCGAGAGAGATCATAGACTGTTGAAAGCCAAAGCCAGAGACAAAAACTTGAAAAGAGCAAGAGGAAAATTGCATATCATATACAAAAGAACCACAATAAGATTAACAACTGACTTCCTATCAGAAGCAATGGAGACAAGAAGGCAGTATTATCACATATTCAAAGTGCTGGGGGAAGAAAACTGTCAACCAAGAATTCTATGAATCAGTTCACTGTAGCAACAGCTGATAACAACTTCTCTCCTCCCCAGCTTCCCGGTGTCCCTTCAGGTTTCTGGTCTAAGCTGTGCTAAGGGGAAGGGCATGGGAGGTATCTGACCTGACACTACGGGGCAAGGAAGAAATGACAACTTCGAAGGTATGAGTACCAACAGCCCTAGACTGGAGTTATTGAAAGAACCTTACAGGAAAGACTTAGTACAACTCTCAATACTTGAAATAAGACACAAGATAGTGAAACTGGAAGCCACACTCAATACTGACAATGAAGGTGGTGAATGGAAAACTTGTTACGGGGCACAACTTCAACTGAATGATCAACTAGAAAACCAAATTTTTTCTCTTAAAGTGAAAATGGAAACAATCTGTGGAAATCCTTCAGATATATTATCTTCTATTCATGTCTACGAGCAAATGCCAGTGGAATCCTTAAAATACATTACTTAGATGGCTAGAAAAAGAAAAAAAGAGTCCTGAAAGTGAAGTGAAAATCTATGCACTTCAACTGGAGCATGAATCAAGGGCTTACCACAAGACCATTGAACTTCAAACATACCTAGCTGAAATGTCTCAGGTCTCTGGCTCACACCAAGTTTCTAAGAGGCAGCAGAAGATCTAAGTTTCTAAGAAGATCAGCTCCATATAATGAAAGGGAATCTAGTGAAAACAGTAAGACTTAATCCAGCTAATCAGAAGATAGTGACTGCCAAGACAGGACCAGAATAAAAGATAAAATCAAACCATCTTTCAAAACTCAATGCATGATTCCAGAAATGAGTGGATTTCTATTTATTCCCCTTTACTCATCTGTAACATTCAATTTGTGAAATTAATGTTCAACATATTTTTGAAGGGATGAAATAGATAAGAAAGAGCTATTAAACTTTAGCTCCCCTTTCAAAAGTTTGTCGTTTTGTTTGCATGAAAGTAATTTCCTTAGTAATTTAGTTTATTTTCAAAAATTACTTTAGAAAGTAATTTTAGTGATCCTAAAATATCTAATAGCAGTGGTTGCTTTTTTATTTTGGTATCATTAATGCACAAATACATGAGCAACATTATGGTTACTAGACTCCCCCCTTTATCAAGTCCCCACCACACACCCCATTACAGTCACTGACCATCAGCATAGTAAGATGCTATAGAATCACTACTTGTCTTCTCTGTGTTGTACTACCCTCCCCATGCACCTCCACCAACATGTGTGCTAATTGTAATAACCCATTTCCCCCCTTATCCCTCCCTTCCCAGCCATCCTCTGCAGTCCCTCTCCCTTTGGTAATTGTTAGTCCATTCTTGGGTTCTGTGAGTCTGCTGTTTTGTTCCTTCAGTTTTTTTCTTTGTTCTTATACTCCACAGATGAGTGAAATCATTTGATACCTGTCTTTTTCCGCCTGGCTTATTTCACTGAGCATAATACCCTCTAGCTCGATCATGTTGTTGCAAATGGTAGGATTTGTTTTCTTCTTATGGCTGAATAATATTCCATTGTGTATATGTACCACTTCTTTATCCATTAATCTACTGATGGACACTTAGGTTGCTTCCATATGTTGGCTATTCTAAATAGTGCTGCAATAAACATGGGGTGCATATGTCTTTTTGAAACTGGGCTCCTGCCTTCTTAGGGTAAATTCCTAGGAGTGGAATTCTTGGGTCAAATGGTATTCTATTTTGAGTTTTTGGAGGAACTTCCATACTGCTTTCCACAATGGTTGAAGTAATTTACATTCCCACCAGCAGTGTAGGAGGGTTCCCCTTTCTCCACAACCTTGTCAACATTTGTTGTTTGTCTTTTGGATGGTGGCGATCCTTACTGGTGCGGGGTGATATCTCATTGTGGTTTTAATTTGCATTTCTCTGATGACTAGCAATGTGGAGCATCTTCTCATGTGTCTGTTGGCCATCTGAATTTCTTCTTTGGAGAACTGTCTTTTCAGATTCTCTGCCCATTTTTTAATTGGATTATTTGCTTTTTGTTTGTTGAGGTGTGTGAGCTCTTTATATATTTTGGATATCACCTCTCTATCGAATATGTCATTTATGAATATATTCTCCCATACTGTAGGATGCCTTTTTGTTCTATTGATGGTGTCTTTTGCTGTACAGAAGCTTTTCAGCTTGATATAGTCCCACCTGTTCATTTTTATTTTTGTTTTCCTTGCCCGGGGAGATATGTTCATGAAAAAGTTGCTCATGTTTATGTCCAAGAGATTTTTACCTATGTTTTTTTCTAAGAGTTTTATGGTTTCATAACTTACATTCAGGTCTTTAATCCATTTTAAGTTTACTTTTGTGTATGGGGTTAGACAATGATCCAGTTTCATTCTCTTACGTGTAGCTGTCCAGATTTGCCAACACCAGCTGTTGAAGAGGCTGTCATTTCCCCATTGTATATCCGTGGATCATTTGTTGTCTATTAATTGACCAGATATGTTTGGGTTAATGTCTGGAGACTCTATTCTGTTCCACTGGTCTGTGGGTCTGTTCTTGTGCCAGTACCAAATTGTCTTGATTACTGTGGCTTTGTAGTAGAGCTGGAAGTTGGGAAGTGAGATCACCCCTGCTTTATTCTTCCTTCTCAGGATTGCTTTGGGCTATTCAGGGTCTTTGGTGGTTCCATCTGAATTTTAGAACTATTTGTTCCAGTTCATTGTAGAATGCTGTTGATAGTTTGATAGGCATTGCATTGAATCTGTAGATTGCTTTGGGCAGGATGGCCATTTTGACAATATTAATTCTTCCTTGCCAAGAGCATGGGATGAGTTTCCATTTGTTAGTGTCCTCTTTAATTTCTCTTAAGAGTATCTAGTAGTTTTCAGGGTATAGTTCTTTCACTTTCTTGGTTAGGTTTATTCCTAGGTATTTTATTCTTTTTGATGCAACTGTGAATGGAATTGTTTTCCTGATTTCTCTTTCTGCTAGTTTATTGTTAGTGTATAGGAATGCAACATATTTTTGTGTATTAATTTTGTATCCTGCAATTTTCCTGAAGTCAGATATTAGTTCTAGTAGTTTTAGAGTGGATTCTTCAGGGTTTTTTATGTACAATATCATGTCATCTGCAAATAGTGACAGTTTGACTTCTTCCTTACCAATCTGGATGCCTTTTATTTCTTTGTGTTGTTTGACTGCCATGGCTAGGACTTCCAGCACTATGTTGAATAAAAGTGGGGAGATTGGGCATCCCTGCCTTGTTTCACATCTCAGGTGAAAAGCTTTCAGCTTCTCGCTGTTAAGTATGATGTTGGCTGTGGGTTTGTCATATATGGCCTTTATTATGTTGAGGTACTTGCCCTCTAAATCCATTTTGTTGAGAGTTTTTATCAATGAATGGATGTTGAATTTGTCAAATGCTTTTTCAGCATCTATGGAGATGATCATGTGGTTTTTGTCCTTCTTTTTGTTGATGTGGTGGATGATGTTGATGGATTTTTTGAATGTTGTACCATCCTTGCATCCCTGAGATGAATCCCACTTGATCATGGTGTATGATCCTCTTGATGTACTTTTGAGTTCTGTTTGCTAATATTTTGTTAAGTATTTTTGCACCTATGTTCATCAGGGATATTGGTGTATAATTTTCTTTTTTTGTGGGGTCTTTACCTGGTTTTGGTATTAGAGTGATGCTGGCCTCATAGAATGAGTTTGGAAGTATTCCATCCTCTTCTATTTTTTGGAAAACTTCAAGGAGAATGGGTATTATGTCTTCTCTAAATGTCTGATAAAACTCAGCAGGAAATCCATCTTGCCTGGAAGTTTTGTTCTTGGGTAGTTTTTTGATTACCAACTCAATTTCGTTGCTGGTAATTGGTCTGTTTAGATTTTCGGTTTCTTCCTTGGTCAGTCTTGGAAGGTTGTATTTTACTAGAAAGTTGTCCATTTCTTCTAGGTTATCCAGCTTGTTAGCGTATAGATTTTCATAGTATTCTCTAATAATTCTTTGTATTTCTGTGGTGTCCTTTGTGATTTTTCCTTTCTCATTTCTGATTCTGTTTATGTGTGCAGACTTTCTTTTTTTTTCTTGGTAAGTCTGGCTAGGGGCTTATCTATTTTGTTGATTTTCTCAAAGAAACAGCTCTTGGTTTCACTGATTTTTTCTATTGTTTAATTCTTCTCAATTTTATTTATTTCTTCTCTGATCTTTATTATGTCCCTCCTTCTGCTGACTTTGGGCCTCTTTTGTTCTTCTTTTTCCAGTTTCAATAATTGTGACTTTAAACTATTCATTTGGGATTGTTCTTCCTTCTTTAAATAGGCCTGGATTGCTATATACTTTCCTCTTAGAACTGCCTTCACTGTTTTCCACAGAAGTTGGGGCATTTTTGTGCTGTTGTGTGATTTGTCTCCATATATTGCTTGATCTCTGTTTTAATTTGGTCATTGATCCATTGATTATTTACGGGCATGTTGTTAAGCCTCCATGTGTTTGTGAGCCTTTTTGTTTTCTTTGTACATTTATTTCTAGTTTTATACCTCTGTGCTCTGAGAAGTTGGTTGGCAGAATTTCAATCTTTTTTAATATACTGAGGCTCCTTTTGTGGCCTAGTATGTGGTCTACTCTGGAAAATATATTCCATGTGCACTTGAGAAGAATGTGTATCCTGCTGCTTTTGGGTATAGAGTTCTGTAGATGTCTGTTAGGACCATCTGTTTGGTGAGTTATTCAGTGCCTCTGTGTCCTTATTTATTTTCTGTCTGGTTGATCTGTCCTTTGGAGTGAGGGATGTGCTGAAGTCTCCAAAATGAATGCATTGCATTCTATTTCCTCCTTTAATTCTGTTGGAATTTGTTTCACATATATCGGTGCTCCTGTGTTGGGTACATATATATTTATAATGGTTATATCCTCTTGTTGGACTGACCCCTTTATCATTATGTAATGTCCTTCTTTATCTCTTGTTACTTTGTTTGTTTTGAAATCTGTTTTGTCTGATACAAGTACTGCAACACCTGCTTTTTTCTCCCTGTTGTGTGCATGAAATATCTTTTCCATCCCTTGACTTTTAGTCTGTGTATGTCTTTGGGTTTGAGGTGAGTCTCTTGTAAGGAGCATATAGATGGGTCTTGCTTTTTTATCCATTCTACTACTCTGTGTCTTTTGGTTGGTGCATTCAGTCCATTTACATTTAGGGTGATTATCTATAGATCTGTACTTATTGCCATTGCAGGCTTTGGATTTATAGTTACCAAGGGTTCAAGGCAGCTTCTTTACTATCTAACCATCTAACTTTAACTCACTTATTATGCTATTATAAACACAGTCTGATGATTCTTTATTTATCTCACTTCTTATTCTTCCTCCTCCACTCCTTATATGTTAGGTGTTTTATTCAGTACTCTTTTGTGTTTCCCTTGACTGCTTTTGTGGATAGCTGATTTTATTTTTTGCCTTTCGTAAGTATTTGGTTGGTCTGCTTTCGTTGCTGTGACTTTATTTTCTCTGGTGACATCTATTTAGCGTTAGGAGCACTTCCATCCCTTTAAAATACACTGTAGAGGTGGTTTGTGGGAGGTAAATTCCCTCAACATTTGCTTATCTGGAAATTGTTTAATCTCTCCTTCAAATTTAAATGATAATCTTACTGGATACAGTATTCTTGGTTCAAGGCCCTTCTGTTTCACTGCATTAAATATATCATGCCATTCTCTTCTGGCCTGTAAGGTTTCTCTTGAGAAGTCTGATGGGTTTTCCTTTGTAGGTGATCTTTTTTCTCTCTCTGGCTACTTTTAATACCCTGTCCTTGTCTTTGATCTTTGCCATT